TTATGCTCTTTCCGGTTATTCAAGTGCTTGTTTTCAAGTCAATTACAGTTTTTGTATCTTTCCCATTTCTTTCAGCAGTCATTTATTTGAATTTTTGTTCCTATATGTTCCCAATGCAGTGAAGTTAGGGATGATGAAGCTAGGAATTTTCTGGTCAAATCAGAGCCAAAGATGGAATGAGTGCTTGAGTGCTTTAATTGGTGTCTTGTGGCTATTTGTCGAGAGTTACATCACATTATGATACAATAAACACATATCTATATGAGTATCATAATCTGTTTATTGTAATGTGGTTTTGTATCATAATGTGTTTACATCAATGCTACAATATATAGATGTATGATTATGGCTGAATGTTTAACTGCCTCAGTTTTGAACTTGAGAGGTATTACCAATCGTGTGAACACACATGCAACACTGTTTTGTTTTGATTACGGTGATGTGAATATATTAGCAATTCAGTCTGAAGACAGAGGTGCATGTTGTTTATGAAGGAATAATATTGAGATGAGTTGAAAGCCTCAGATACAAGGCCATGTGTATTGATTGTCATATAAATATTGGTTATAAGAGACAGGAATATTCTGTTTGTCAGACTATACAATAATAGTTTATAGAAAGCTAACTATACACCAATAAAGCTAACTATACACCAATAGTTTACTAATAGTGCAAAGCATAATCATGACAGAGGAATAATAGTGCAAAACATAATCAGGACTCATTATGCATATTCTGTTTATCAGTTTAATTAGAAAGGTTTTGTTTTTTTAACTTGAGAAGCCGAAGAAAATATGTACATACAATATTGTCATACAATAACCGTGATACAATATGAGAAGGGTGGATAAAAGGATGTTATGTCATATTGTCATACAATAACCTGAAAGCACTTCCCAATGTACATATGTGAAAACAAAATGTAGTAGTCGTTTGGGTTTTACCCCTTACTAGTTGATCAGTTTACAAACAGAATATTGAAAGTGATTCCCCATGTATCCCAGTGGTGGGTTTGGGATTGGTTTCGGTTTCTTTGTCCTTGGTTTCGATTTCTTGATCAATTTACAAACAGAATATTGAAAGTGATTCCCCATGTATCCCAGTGGTGGGTTTGGGGTTGGTTTCGGTTTCTTTGTCCTTGGTTTCGGTTTCTTTATCCTTTAATCGTGAGACTCAAGACGACATGGTTGATTTCAACATAGCTTCTTGTTGCTTTGGTTAATTTTCTTGTCCTTGCTATTTGACTAGTTTTGTCCTCTTGTTGCTGTTCTTTCCATCTTTTGAGTTTATCTGGAAAAATTCATAAAAATACTAATGAAGACTTCTTGGTAAAAAAAATAAAAATAAATTATGAAGCTTTAGTGAATAGTAAAACAAGCGATGTTGAAGCTCTATTGAATCATTTAGGAAACATATTTTGAATTTATTTGAAAATATTCATAAAAATACTAATGAAGACTTCCGAGTGAAAAGAAAATTATGCAGCTTTAGTGAATAGTAAATCAAGCGATGTTGAAGCTCTATTGAATCGTTTAGGAAACATACTTTGAGTTTATCTAAAAAAATTCATAAAACTAATGAAGACTTCTCAGTCAAAAAATAAAAATAATATTTGCGAAGCTTTAGTGAATAGCAAATCAAGTGATGTTGAAGCCCTAGTGAATCATTTTGATGCGTTTATGAGAAACACATTTAAGCAAGACAAAAAAAAAAGGGTGAAGTTTATGAACTCAAAACACATAATCAACTGTTAAATCTTTGTGAGCACATGCATCAAAGGCAGCTGAACTAAATGGCATGTTTGAAATTGGATAACTTGCCTGCATAAAAAAAGAAAAAGCAAAGAAAAGTACAACATATTAATCAAACTTCCAAATAAGTATAACAACATGAAAGACGAGTAACAATAAAGACATACAAATTTAGCAATGCAGAATATGCAGAACCAAGCTACGATCCATGGTCTTATTTAGGCACTATTTAAAACTAAAGTATGAACTCCTGATATCCATCAGATGCTTGGAGAAAGACTTGCAAGAGAAACGTCCTGAAGGTTCCAATCTCCAACTCCTGATATCCCTTCTATTTGGACTCAAAACAATAGCTTCCAACCTTGAAGATCATCTATTTAACTTTTCAATTAACAACAAAGTGGTAACCATTTATGTTGTAACATGAATTATTTCTGTTTTTCCTTTTCAATTTTAGGAATTCTGTACCGCTTAACAAAGAACCTAATCTGGAGAATACAATTCCTTCACATCTCTGCTTGAAACAAAAGGGAAAAACATATGCCCACAGAGTCGACACAAAATATTCCCAAAGTCGAAATCATGAAATCTTAACAGCAAATAAAAAGGAAACTGGACATTTAATGAAAACAACGGGGAAATAGAAATTTTCTTCACTCACTTCATCGGCTCGAAGACCAAACAACAGGCAATACTGTCACTCTTCAATGATTCCACAAACTATAACATTAAAGGAAATAAATCAAATAATAATCACAAGTTTCCTCAGTTCATACTAGAAATCATTTCTCTAGGAAACCCAATAGAATTTTTTTATTTTCTTTACAAATAAACCAAATATGACGTTGCCTTGCCTTTGGAGCTAGTAACCAGGAGAGGTAAGACCCAGAAAGAGCAGTTTCTTGAACTTTTGGGTTTCAGAGAAACATAAATTTTAAAAAATTCAACCCCAAGCAGAATCATAATGCCTACCCACCAACAAATTAAACCAGAAAATTAAGCAATTGAAGCCAATTTATATTTTTGCAAACACAACTAGTACGGAGAAAGAGTAATCTTACCTACACAGAGAGGGAGGAGGAGCCCATATGTGTAAACCCAGAAAATCAAAGCCCTAAAATCCTAAACAGAAATTAAACATTAAGGAATGCAATAGAAAATGCAAAACATAATATCAAAGTTTGAAAATATAGACTCTCAAATAGATCTCGATATTTGAATTGTGATATGGAGAGAGAGAGAGAGAGAGAGAGAGAGAGAGAGAGAGAGGACGACGGTGAGGGAGATTGAGGCAGAGAAACTGAGAGAGCAAGACAGAGATGGAGAGAGAGAGAGAGAGGAGGAGGGAAACAGAGGGGGCAGGGAAAGAGAGAGGGAGTTCCAGAGAAAGGTATCGATTCTGACCAAAGAAACTAGGAGATGGTACTAAGAGGAGAATATGTTTGAGATGAACAAGAGGGAGTCTGAAAAAAATGAAATCAATAAAAAATCAAAAGGCGCGATTGGAAGGAAGAAAGGCGGGACTGGAAAAGGCGCGCCAGGGCATGTGGGGCTAAGGGGAACTGCAGCGTACCCAATTCTATTGTAAGCTTGTTTCTTTCTCTCTAGCCGTTCAGATCAGATTGGTGGCTGAGATTAATTCCTCACATAAAGTTCTCACTTAGTGGTTCTTGCTAGAGAAGCGCCCCAAAACAAATTACCCATTAATTCTCAAAAGTCCAAAATATTTGATGGGTGGTCCAAATAAATTATGTGGTTAATGGATCAATTTTTAAATCCTCAAAACCATATGTGAGTAAATTAATGGGCTCATTAAAATGCCTGTTAATTTTCTTTGTACATTGACAATAAACAAATATGGTACAAAACCATTCCAAATTTTCTCATGGGTCATCTACTCGTACAAATTTGAATGAGATCAAATTTAAATCTCTCAACCACAAACTCTGTCAAGGGGTCATTCATTCCTTGAAAGTTCAATCAAATATTCTGAACTACGTTCGGTTTGATTCCGCCAAGGATACATAGGCAATTTGGAAATTCAATCCAGATACAACCGCAAGTCCAAACAGAATCCCTGGTTTACCTTAACCAAATTCGCCCCAAACACTTTTCCAACCACAAAATCAAATTGAATCCTTGGTCCAACCACATTCATCCAAATTCCATAAAATATTTCTCACACCACAAATTCTTTCAAGGGGTCATTCATTCCTTGAAAGTCCAATCAAATTCTCCAAAGAACTACAAAAGGCTTGATCGCCCAAAGGGGGTATGTAGGCAGTCTAGGGTTCCCTGGATGCAGCCATAACATCAAATCAAATTCCATTATTTATTTCATTCTTCACATTAGAATCAAAGGGTGTTCTCTTTTCAAAGAGATTATAATTAAGAGATATTTTCATCTTGAATGGGTCGTACTCAATTAATAACAAAAACTCTTATTGGTAAATAAGAGTGAGATTATGTTGGGGGAATTTTTAATTACGTTATTACATTTTTTACCTAACAAGCCACATCATCACTTAACGCCTCTTTTGATGGCCTGGGAAACTAAGTATTTAATTTGTAAGTTTTTCGTGAGTTCAGGTATCTACGTGCAAAAGTTTAAAGGTTGAGTACTAATTTGAAACGACCCCCAAAATTTAGGTACTTTTATGTGGTTAACCCTAACTTTTTTTTTTTTTTGGGTTAGTGCAAGTGGTGAGGTAGAGGAGTAACAAAATGAATTAGGATAATTAGGATTATGATAGAATTCCCTTTAA